AACTCCACAACGGAGTTAGCAGACTCAACTCTTTTGGCTTGTGTAGCATACAAAAAAAGTTAGCGCTAAAAAATTACTCGAAAGATTGGATTCATGTTTAAATATTTTAAAAAATCTTACCAGCTTTTTGTAGTGCTCCGTATAGGGGACTGATTCACCAATATGGAGCGCAACTCCTTTAGCCCCCTCTATCGCTCGGTTCGCCCGGTTCGTCCGCCTCCTCCTCATACAATGAGTGACCTAAGCTGCGGTCAACTAATCCCAGAGCCCCTCGCCAATCAAGGCATGCTGCTCGCCCCTCCGGCGGGATGTCGTGAACATGTCGGTCAGGCGATGTCTGCCCCGAATCTTGAAAATTCAACGTATTTAGTGGTGGTGCTCTGGGAGCCAGGTGAAGGACCTACGTAACGTAAAAAATAATCCATGTGTTATTATAAAAAATTAAATCAAATTTATAAATTTAATTCAAATTAAATTACATGATCGTATACATGATCGTACCTCAAACTCCTTCAACTACATGTTCTGAGTGACTACAAGTATTTGCTTCAACGACATATAAGGTTCATCATACTTCTCCTGATAATCTCTGTGATGCGGGTGACAGGCAGTTTGTGGGGAATGAATCTGCTTAAGAAACAAATTACTTGCCAAAAAATATATAAGACAATGATTTTTCTCTTTTATTAACCAATAATTTGACGGTTTAGCCGATAAGTCTTTGAGATTTGCAAGCTTTAACAAGTTAAATTGGAAATATATAAGCTCTACCACTACTCATGTCTATGGCTCAAGTGGGTCAAAATGGTCGGACTCAACAAGCCCAAAACATGGCGGAGTTGCTGATAGCTCGGTTTATTTAACAAGCCACAAAAATGACCGCAGTGAAGGAGCAAGCTCTTCTTACTTAACAAGTCATAAATATGACCGTAGTAAGATAGTCCATATCTTGTTAGTCTATGATGAGAGTTATCTAGTTCCCAAACTCATCCAGTTTAACGAGTTCAAGTGATCCAGGTCAAGGAGATTTTCTCAATAGATTGATGGATTGCAGTCGAGCTAAAATATTCTCAACTATACAAGTTCCAGGACCTGGTGATATAAGAAAGGAGACTCCCAATTATATAAGGTTAAGTCTGTTAAATTGAAAAAGCACAAATTTTATGTAGCCTAAGTATAAGACTTAAGTAGGTCTTGAAGGTTGGACTTAACAAACTCAAATATGGTCGAGTCACTGACAATTCTCTTCACTCAATAAACCATAAAAACGGCCACAGTGAAGAGGCCCATTTTTTTAGTCTGATGACAAAGACTGTCAAGTTTCATGCATATTCAACTTTATAAGTTTAAGCGAACTAGATCAAAGAGATTTTCTTAATTAATCAAAAGGTCGAGGAAAATCAAAAAAATGATCATCAATCAAGAAAGCATCAAGTTGAGTTTGATGTCTTGTTCAAATAAAGAAAGCCTACTTTTTCAAATAGTTTGATCAAGCACAAGGCATAAACTGGAGGAATTCTTTTCTTCAATAAGTTCGGTAAAGCGGAAAGCAAAGGACCGAAGAAGTTATCCCAAAAGTTCACTCAAAACTTGATGCTGAACTAAAGGAATTTTATTGTCGACAAGTCCGATAAAGCACCAAGCACAAAACCAACTACTTCTTGCCATTGACTCAACAAAAACCCGAAGGCTAGATCAATGCCATGCATCCTTCAGTAAGTTCACAAAAGCGCTAAGCTAGGTCCGAAGGAATACTTATTAACCTGACAAGTTCGTAGAGATAATTCAGATCAATTCATTCAACAAGTCTGTCAAAGCACAAAGCTTGAACCGAAGGTGTGCTTACTTACTTGGCAAGTCCGTAGAGACAATTCAGATCAATTTCTTTAACAAGTTTGTCGATGCACAAAGCTAGTACCGAAGGTGTGCTCACTTACCTGACAAGTTTGTTGAGACTATTTAGGTCAATTCTTTCAACAACTCCATCAAAGCACAAAGCTAGGACCTAAGGCATACTCATCCACCTGATAAGTTTTAGAGACAATTCAGGTCAAACTTCAATAAGTCCGCCAAAGCACAAAGTTAGAACCGAAGGACCGAAGAAATCAGGACAAAAGAAGCTCTAAAATTTCAAAAGTACTAAAATAAAAACGTCAACTAGTCAATCAAAACAAAAAGCAAAGCGCAAATAACAAGTTCAATCTCCAAGCAAAATGAGTGACAACAAGCAAGAGGTGACGTCAACCAAAGTTGGTCTTCACGTTATAAGCCTGCATATTCAGCTAAAGATATACTTTTCTTTAAAATGACTTGTAAACTCGAGTTTTCAAAATTTCAGGCTTCAGGGTTTAAAGTGTCGGGACTTGGGCTTTTTAATATTTAGGGTCTTTAGGTTTTAAAAAATTTAAATTTATGACTCTTAAAATATAAAGATTTAGGGCTTATAAATATTAAAAATCAGATTTTAAAATTTAAGCTCAGAAAACTTAAAAAAATATTTTGAATTCAAGCAATTCAAACTTGGGCTCCTACAGGGATATGAAGTCTTTTAAAATTTTAATAATCCGTCACCAAATTTGCAACACTCCGACTAACAAACAGAAGGCAGGGCATTTAAAGCCTAAAATCATAATACTTTTGCAAACATTTTGAATTCCAAATAACTTAAACATTTGTAAGCTTTGTGTTATAACTTAAGTTAATGAAACATCTTGAAATATGAGCCACACTTTTAAGGCTTAGATGAGTACCACTTGCGATACTCCCGAGCTATGTATGCTTTAAGGTGGCTATATAAACAAAAGTTAAAAACCCACATGTGCTCCAACCAATATATAGAACGTTCAAATATTAGGTTTGAGAATGCTGTGCGCAAATCCGGCCGCCTTATCTATAGGGAAGAGTTGTAAGTCTCACCCCACTAGTTCAATTCCGCTCCTCGTAAGGAGTGGAGTTGACGAGTCCAGTAAACCCTAATAAATGTCCAAATCCTAAGATGAAAATTTACAAGTCCAAATCGCCTAGTCTGATCCTCATAACTACAAAAGATAGGAGTCGACGAGACCTATACATTGAAAATCTTAAACTAACAAAATTAAGTACCCCTTTCAAATATAAATATTTTAAATGTTTCAATACTCCGATGATGACCGTGTTGATCGAAGTTTTCAACCGGAGGGTCAATCTTTTAAATCAAGATTTTCAAAGTAACCAACCAAATAGTCAAGTCAAAATTGAATTACTTAAAAGCTAAAAACAAAATCCATCCGTCATTCCAGTAAGTTGTTGAGGGTGACAAACTTTTGATTAATTTCAGCTCACAAAGTGCGAAAGTCATATCAAATGTATCAATATGTTCAAAATTAAAGTAATGAAATGCTAGTTAAGATGTGAACCGAGTTCTCTGTCAGCGTGGTTCTGTCACCAAATAACACCTCAAAATAGCAGTTAGGACCAGAGTCCTCTGACCGGGTGGTTGTCATCAAATGACACCATTATATTATGGTCACTATCGCAACCCGTATGTTTCTCAACGGTCTTCTACCCTTTGAGTTGTGAATCTTAATGATACAATTGATTGATATAAAACCTTATGTTAGCTAAGCTCGACTTAAGTTTGTCCACCCCAGATCAAGGATTTCTTGGACAACACAACTCATGGTTGTTGATAAGAATCATCTGTCAGGTTGGGTCGACTACCTTCTTTGACAAAATAGATCAGGGGTCACGACGACCTGGGATGAAGGAACCATGAGATTTTGATCGGGTTTAGTCTTCATTAACCCACCATCCGCTTTAAGCTTCAAGTGACGAATTCTGCAATTTAAATCTTGTCCGCTGCTATTATATGATGAGTACTCACTTCTTAATGACCAACCTTAATCAAAAGTGCTCTCCCGTTATCTGGAGTGGTAATTAACCACAGGGGCTTGCGCCTATGGGAAATCGCAAATAAAAAATTTCTTGCAAAATGAGGGAAATTTCTGGGTAATGTCTTATCTACAATCCAATCAGCCTTCTGAAAATTCAACCCTCCAACCCTCCAAAGCTCTCTTTCTCAAAATAAATGCAGAGAGTTGTCTTGGGGAGCGATTGTGAATTTTCAAAGCCCACAATAAGCGTGCATTTTCTAGCTCCCACTGACTTAACCATCAAGAATTTTAAAACCCACTTAGTGCATTGTTATTCTTCAATGAATTAGGGTTTTAGCATCTTCTCAACTTCTTATTTAATTGTAGCTTTAATCTCATAAAAAATTTCCTATTTTATTTGATTGATAGGTTATTGTCATTTTAAATTCGACCATTAGATGGTTTGGTCATATTAAACGTCGACCATTAGATGATCCAATTAGGAGAGTAGATGTTTTAAATTCGACTTGTGTTTAGATAGAAAGGCAGAGGTAAGGCAGAGGTAGACCTAGGAAGACTTGGGCTTATTGTATTAAAAATGATCTTAATTTACTAGAACTAAATGAAAATATGACACTAAATAGGACGCAATGGAGAAAAAGGATTCATGTAGCCGACCCCACGTAGTGGGATTAAGGCTTTGTTGTTGTTGTTGTTGTTGTTGATAGGTTATTGTCATTGATATTGAAGTGTTGATGTCTACTTCGAATATTTCGACAGATCCCAATGCAAAATTGTCTAGTTTATCACTTTGAATTAGTATTCAAATTATGAAGAAAGGTAATAACAAATTATTATATAGAAGAAAATAAAAGTTTTGACTGAATTCTAATTCTGAAAATTTTTTTCGGCGTTATAATGAGGTAGCCATCTCTGTGGCATATGCTTAAGTGTTGACAAAGTTCAGTAAAATGATTCAAGAACACTAAGGCAGAAATGCACTATAAAATGTTCCCTTCACATACAATTCAATTTACAATCCACATCGCTGAACACAACTGTAAAAAAAAAAAAAATGAAGAAAACCTCTAAAAGCAAAATCAAACTTATAAAAGAAAAATATTTTCTATAATAATTCTGCTGGCCACATTTTAATTATCATCCTTTTTTGTGCATTGTGTGTGTTTCTATAACATACCATTAAAAAATATGTTTAGCATATTGATCTATAAAATATTGTTTATATTAAATTACTTGTCTTGGCGAAGCTGCAAGTTGACCAATCCAAAATACTTTCCATTCATTTCCATTAGTGATGCATGATCTCCTTTCTCAACTAAAAGGCCATTTTCGAGTACAACAATTAAGTCACAATTCTTGATGGTGCCGAGCCTATGTGCCACCACAACCGTGGTTTTTCCTCTCATCACCCTCTCCAAGGCCTCCTGTACAAGCTTCTCTGCTTCTCCATCCAACGCACTTGTTGCTTCATCCAAGAGCAAGATACTTGGATTTCTTAGTATTGCTCTTGCAATTGCAACCCGTTGCTTCTGCCCGCCAGATAATTGCAGCCCTTTCTCCCCACAATTTGTATTGTACCCATCTTTTAGCCCACATATGAAGTCATGCGCATTAGCTATTCGCGCTGCTGCCTCCACCTCCGCATCACTTGCATCCTCTACTCCATACAAAATATTTTCCTTTATTGTACCAATGAACAAAGTTGGTTCTTGCCCCACCAATGCAATATGCCTTCTCAATGATCGCAAATGAAAGGCTTGAATGTTTCGACCATCGATACACACCTCTCCGTCCAATGGGTCGTAGAATCGCTGAATAAGACCGATGATAGTGGATTTGCCGGAGCCACTGGGGCCCACGAGTGCAGTGGATTGGCCCTCCTCAAATGATATGGAGAAGTGTTTAAGGGCCAACACTTCAGGGCGAGATGGATAGGAAAAAAAGATGTTACGAAATTCAATTACACCTTTGATGGAGTCAGCCTTGTGACCCTCATGACAATCAGGATCAATTTGTGTGTCTCGTTCAAGAATTGATAATACAACTGCAGCTGAGCTGATGCCATTAGTGAGGTCCGTTGTCATAGCACCTGCGTCAGCTATCGTACGTGAAGTTTTGCAGAGGATCGCCAAGGTTTGCAATAAGGCTTTGGTGGTAATGGAGCCCTTGGAGAGCAGGATGCCACTGTCCCAAAAGGAAATGGCCCACGAACAATTACCAATAACTTGCGAGAAGCCAAGAAGAGTGCCAGCAAACCAAGAGTGTTGAATGCCTTGTTGGCGCGGGCCATCCAGTGCGAGAATAAAGAGACGAAGGATGTGGTCTTGCGAAGAAAAGCTAGTGATAGTGCGAATATTTTGAATAGCTTCCATAGCTAATCTGTTGCTATTTGATTGAGCGCTCAATCTTTTGCGTGATAATTCCTTTAAAAGAACACTTTTTGTGTAGTAGCATGCAATGACAATCGGCTGCATGGAGATTATAACTAAGGCAAGTTTCCATGAGATTACAAGCCCTATTGTATAGGCGATCATTATTGTGGATAATGTCTGTATCATAAGAGACAAGCGATCTCCAACCAGTGATTGTATCACACGAGCGTCTTTGAATATCTTTGAACAGAGGTCCCCAGTAGAGTTCTCTTCTTGATCAAACCACCCCACTTCAAGCATTAACAACTTAGAAAGCATAGCCTCCCTAATTCTCTTTGTTAAATATTGACCCATGATGGAAAAACTATAATCCTTGAGAACATAAACAACAAAGGCCAACACTGATATTACCAATAGGATTAGGCAATAAATTCTTATCTTTGCGGTAATATCTGACTTATCCTTATCAAGATAAATTGTTAGTATGCTACTCATGGAATATGAATTTACTATGTAGGGTAGTCCATCGAACGCAGCACACACAACCCCTAATAACATATGGCGCCATTCCGGTGTGTTCATGAGTAATAGAAACCAGAATGATGGTGCACGTATTTTTGCGCCCTTCATGTTTTCCATTTTATCGCCAGCACAATTACCTTGAAAGATTGTTGAGCGACTAAAGTTATGGCTTCTATGGGAGTAAGAAAAACTGGTGGTGGAGTTAGCTTCATTGACTCCCATGGACTTTGCACATTTTTGCAATTCTTGAAGGTGAAGAAAATAAGAGTAGTGACCATTAGTGATGTTTATGAGATGATTATGAGAGCCGGATTCGATGACTTGACCCGATTGGATGACGTAGATGGTGTCAGAATTACGAATTGTGGAGAGGCGATGAGCGATGATAATTGTGGTGCGATCAATAGTAGCAACATCAAGAGCTTCTTGAATGGCGAGCTCAGACATGGTGTCTAATGCACTGGTAGCCTCATCTAGTAGAAGTATCTTTGGGGATCGGATGAGTGCTCGTGCAATGGCAATCCGCTGCTTTTCCCCACCAGATAGTTGAATCCCTCTCTCACCTACCTGCACCACATTCAGAGTTTTTATTAGCAAAGAACGATCAAGACAATAATTTAGTAATTTGAAGGTTGCTAGATAAATGATCGTAATAAAAATATTGACAACTCAAACTTACCCATAATGTGGGTATGATGAGTTGATATATATTATTGTTTGTATAAGTGTTCCCAAGAAAGCGACCTTCATGAGGCTTAGTCTCAATATTGCTCTCTTGTTCACATCACTACATAATTTATGACATGCCCAACTTGGTTTTTAGAAGCCACTTGAACTAATTGCATAGGTTATTTGAATAAAGGACATGCAGACTTTTCCATGCATCACCTTTAAAGTCAACATTCGGCCCTCTGGATAGTTAAAAGAGGAAAAACTAGTTGAATAGTGTCATGTTTCACTTGTCAGCTGTGTAGAGGATGCCCTCCTAAATGATGGTAAAACCCCTACAACTAGTTTAAGAACTACCCAATAGGTTTTATGCCTATGGTGCTATTTGCATCATATATTTCAAATGGTTCCGTACTTGTTGTTAGGTGATCCCACCTAATAAAAACTTTTTCTAGAAAAAAAACTAATTCAATTTGGCTCCCTTAACTCAGTGAAATATGTTCAAAATCTAAAACTCAGTGCAATATGTTCCAAATCTATCATGTTGGCCTCTCTTTCTCTTAGTGGATTTGTTTTAGTCAACGAGAAGTCATATCCCATTACACTTTATAGTTTCTTAAAAGAAATGAATAAATGTACCAGTGTGTCATATCCCGATGGCAGCAGGGAGATGAATTCATCTGCATTTGCAGCTTTGGCAACTGCGACAACCTCCTCCATCGTCGCACCTTTTTTGCCAAACAAGATGTTCTCCTTTATGGAAGTTGCAAAGAGCACTGGTTCCTGGCTCACGAGCCCCATCTGTGCCCTGAGCCAATTCAACCTCAGCTTCTTTATGTTCACTCCGTCGAGTAATATCTCACCTGCAGTTGGATCATAAAATCTCTGTAGCAGCGATATTGTCGTCGATTTTCCTGACCCGCTCTCTCCCACCAATGCTATCTTCTTACCAGCCTCCACTCTCAAATTGAACCCCTCAAAAACATTTGTTGCAGGCCTCATTGGATATGAGAATCCCACCTCCCTGAATTCCACCTCCCCCTTCAATTCCTCTATCTCATCTCCCATATTATTCTCCATGTCGATCATAGGTCTTCGTTCTATCACCTCTGAGATCTTCTCCATTGCATTAATTGCCTCCACTAAGTACTTAACATTTGAAAGGCATATGCCAAGTGTTTGGCCACCATGCACAAGGCACACGGCAACACTAACAACGGTGCCACCTTTAGCGCCATGATTTTCGACCAAGCGTCCACCATACCAGTAAAGGAAGGCAAAGACCGCGAAGCAGACATTATTGCTGCCTACTGCAAGGCCTTTGATAAAGTCTTGACGGAGGCCGAGCTGGACTGTGCGATCGAGTGCGGTTGAGAAAGCTGAAATTACATAGAGCTCTGCCGTGGAGGAATAAACCGTTCGAATGGCCGAAAGAGCCTGCTCTACAATTGCACCGGCCTTGTCATACTCCACTTGAATCTTTCGAGACAAACGTAGTAAAGCCCGTCCATAAATCAGGCCAGGAACAATCAGCAATAACAAACTCGGGGTTGCCGCCACTGCCAGCCGCCACAACAGAACGAATGCAACTATGTAGTTCCCCAAGAACGTCGAACAATTCATTATAAAATTTGGCGCCTGCACACAACACAATCAATAGTATCAATAATAGTAAAAAGTGACATTATGATACAATATTTCACAACCATGTCTAGCAATCACTTTCACAAACAAACTGACCTTTTCACCAAGAACATCTTGGATGACAAGGGAGTCGTTGGAGATCACGTTGACGATCTCCGCAGTGGCCGTTTCGGCATTGAAATAGCCCACATCTTGTCTCATCACCGCCTTCAAATACCGTGCACGCATTCTCGCCGCCTGGCGCTCCGCCGTCATCGTACAACAATACCCCTCTACATATTCGATCAAAGACGTCATGATTCATGATGATATATGGTTATGAAAACAATATAGGTTGGTCATTTGAGTACCAAGGAATGCTGCAACAAAAGAAGCTGCTCCCAGGTAGAGGAATCGGAGGGCATTATTTTTTATTCTGTGCATGAAATCTGGGGAAGGATAGGTGCCAATATCGTTGAAAACCAGAGCGAATAGAATGTTCAAGGTAGTCTGTGAAAGGCCATTGAAGATGGCCCCCACACAACCAATAGCCATTAGGAAACAGTCCACATCATCAGCTAGCTTGAAGAAGCACACTAGTGATGGCAGCAACCTGTTACTCCTTCCTTTCACTTCCCTCATCCTTCTCTTCAAGTTTCTTTCTAATATCAATCCATTACTCTTCTTACCCTTATATATATACATGCCCAAAATTTTACATACAAAACACTAAAAACATTAATATTTATAAAGGTCTGTTTGGGGTAGTTGCAGCTTATTGAATAATCTGCTGATAAGCTGATTAAAAATAGTCTGCTGATAAGCTAGGTACAGTTGTTATTAAAAATTTTTATTTTTTTTGAAAAAACCAAACCGCAACCACACTTAGATAGATGCGGTGTGAAAATGATGTTTTCAACATTTTGAAAACACAAGCTACCAAAACCCAATTTACCCAAACAGATCAGTTGCGTTTTCAAAACACCACCACACTAATAAACTGCCAAAAAACGGGCTCTAAATTAGACACTTCATTGATTTTTTAAACTACTAAATAGATGCATCGAATAATTGAGAATTTAATAAAAAATTGAAAAGCAGGAGTTGGGGTTTTATCTTGAATTTTGACATTTGGATGAAAGAGGGTGTGATTGATTGCTAAATAGCAATGGTTTGGCTGCTTATGTAATTGTCCCGATTTTTTAGTGAGGTATGCATGTAAATTTGTTATAAATAAATATATAAATAAATATAATATTTTGTCGGTTGTAATTAATTTTGAAATTATCATCATAAATTTTAAACTCGACTCGAGTGAAAAAGAGAGGCTGTTTTAAAAAATGGCAAGACGTGGTGAGTAATATGGATATTTGGAACAAGTAGATGAATGATGTCGCTTAATAATATATATAAATAATTTACTAATAATACATTTGTCTAAATCAGAAACTATAATCGGAAGTGTTGTTTTTGAGTTTTCTTTATTACTTGACTTACATAATGAATAAAAAAAAAAATGAAGATGCTTCAAATATGAATGCGGACAAATCAATGTTTTATTAAATATGTTGAATTGAAATATTGATGTCGTCAAAATAAGATTTTATGATGAAAGCAGGCATTTTTATTTAAATTACAAATAAGACAGCACGTCAGGTTCATAGATCACAATGCACAAATAGTAATAAGACGCAACTCAAAACGTTATCAAGCAACGTCAAATATCGTCATTGTAAGTTTTAAAACGTGAATTAAATCTTTGTCTACAGGTAAGGTGAACGTGTATGAAATAAATAAAATTTTTTAAGTGTTAGATGTTTTAACACAAGGAATCGAGTGGTATGTATGTAAGTCTTCCTTTTCTTAAGTTTTAAAATGTAAATTAAATCTTTGTCTACAGGTAAAGGTGAACGTGTATGAAATAAATAAGACGCACATAGGAATCGAGTGGTATGTATGTAAGTCTTCCTTTTCTTTATTTAACTTTTAATTTGTTATTTTATAGTTAATAATTACGCTAAAAAGATTATTTTATCTTTAAATTGATTACTAATATCATTCAAAAATTTCTTTTAGCTAAAATTTTATAATTAAAATTTAATTTTTTATTTACATGCTATCATGCTTGATGATGTATTGATTAAGTACAGTTAACCTCGAATTTTTGTACTTTTTATTTCAAGTTAATGAAGCAATTATTTTATACTTGGCACAATTTGAGCTTATGTTTTGTACTATTTTATTTATTTAATTTGCTGCGTATGATCTCACATAGTATATTATATAACATTATTTTAACTAAAAATAAATTTATTATAATTTTTAAAATATTTGGTCTCCAAAAGATTTGCGATAAAGAGTATAATGAATTATATAGTCTGCATGGAGTTTGGTTAATATGTAATATATATATAAGTCGAGATTATTTATTCCTCTTTCGTTTTATGTTAGCCTTCTGCACGTTAGAAATTTGAAAGAGCTTTTGATAGGAATTAAAGGGAAATTTACATACATACTACACAGTTCTTATGTATTTATACATCTAACACCTAAAATTTAATATTTCCATAGTGTTATAAGCTTATTTCACTTCAAAAGAGTTAGCAATAATGGCATTTTTTTTATATAATAAAAAAAATTTGACTGGTATGCATTTAAATATCAAAATTTTGGGATTAGATATGTAAATATACAAATTTCTCACATATTACATTCATAACACTTAATGATTGCGATTTGGAAAACTTAAAACCCAGATGATTTTTAAACTGCTAAAACCATGCATTTACATGTGACATAATTAAACCTTTGCGAATTTGATACAAATAAAAAATAAGGGTCTGGTTTTATCATAAAATTTGATATTTCAGCAAGCCTTTAAAAAACGAATGAAAGAAAAATGTAAAAACTAATATAATAATCCAATAATCTATCAATTTACAACCATTAGTTTTTATTTGTATATATATAAACCTTATAAACAATCCATCTATAACTTTAGACACACACCTTTTAATCACTATGGCTGACAAAAAAAAAAAACATTAGCGAACAAAATTTTTAAGCTCTAATTATAAATGAGCGGAACAACAAATAATATATATATATATATATACTCATGTTGTTTTATATTTTTTATTGCTTGGAAATGCTGCAGATTCGAATTCAACACATTACATCTATACTTCTAGTTAATTGACAAGAACAAATTTCAAGCAGTACACGGCCTGAACAAGAACGAAAATATATAAATTGAGCCAAATATGAACACAATGTTTATGAACAATTTCAAACACGACTTAAAGTTGAACATAACTAATTACAAACAAGCTGAACTAGAGTCAAAACTGAGCCAGCTCAAGCTCGGCGCATTCACAGTCCTACGAATCAACAACGAATATTTTCATCAATTTCTTTATACAGAAACGAAATATCTTCTAATAGATCTCTTCATAATATGTTTGATTTGCATCGTTTAATGGCATTCTTAAAATCATATAAATACCTTCTTATAAATATTCTGCACTTACCAGAGGACTGCAGCCATTTATGAAGAAAGTTTTCTCTTTGTTATCAATCAAAATCCACTCTTAAATCGCCCAGCTCTATCTCGCCAAGAGCCCTGCTGCATCGCCAGCACCTGCAACCCATTCCAGATAACATTTCTAACACTTAAAACTATTAATTTGCTTCTATTAATAAATAAATAAATACAATGTATTCCAGTAATTTGCCTTATCGCTTATCAGAAGATTTTTCGGTTGATTTTCGTTGCCACTCTTCTCTGCATCTTTACTGGTTTCGGATTCTGTGATGACTGGCGATATTGTCGAAGCTCCAAACATCGCTTCGTCGTGCGCCGCTTTGATCTGTTCCTCACGTTTTGCCTGCAGCATGGAAAGTCTTATTTATTTGTAGGAAGTGGGATTTACATACATACCGCACAATTATTATGTATTTACACATCTAACACTTAAACATTCATATTTACATCTATGACACTCAAGTTTTTGAAGTTACATATAAAAATATCACAATCACTGCCTTTGAAAGTGAAACACACCTCATCATGCTTATGTTTATGACACCGAGGTGATAAGTGTAAATATCAAACTTTGGGCGTTAAATATATAAAAAAAACATATGAATTGTGCGGTCTGTGTGCATCTAAATATCCCTAGGAATACCCCACAATTCTTATGCACTTAGATATCTAACAACTAAACATCTCATATTTACATGTATACCATCCAAAATTTTAACATCACACAAAAAATACAACTATTACTATCTTTTTAAAAATACACCTTTCATGTTATAAGTGTATATCAAAGTTTGGGCTTTAGATATTGAAAAACATAAGTGTATGTAAATTTCCTTAGGAATACCACACAATTCTTATGTAGTCATATATCCAACACCTAAACATTCATATTTACATGCATACCCCTCAGGTATTTAACACCGCATCAGAAATACAACCATTACTATCATTTTAAGTAAATTACACCTTTTCATGCATGTTTTATAACACCAAGGTGCACCGCATCAGGTATTTAACCTCAGAAATACACCTTTTCATGCATGTTTTATAACACCAAGGTGATATAAGTGTAAATATCAAAGTTCGTGTGTTAGATATGTAAATACATAAGAATTGTGTGGTATGTATGTAGGAAAGTAATTTACATCACACTGAAATGTTGATGACAGACCTGCACGGCAGAAAACCTGAAACTGTTGCCAATCTCTTTGACCAGAGAAGCATCATCTTCTGCCACTGAGATAATATAACAAAAGTAAGCTAAAACAGTCATAGAATGTTGCCTAAGTAGGTTCATTTAAGGTTGTCTGAAAAAAAATTGAAAAAAATATAGACGCATTTACGCACATACCATACAATTCTTATATATTTACATGTCTAACAACTAAACATTTACGTGCATTTCATTCAAATCTTTAACATCAAATTAAAAATGTCACCTTCATTACCTTGCTGAAACTGAAATACACCTTTTCATGGATAGGATTATGACAACTAGGTTTTACAAGTGTAAAATCAAACTTTGGGTGTTAGAGATGCAAATACATAAGAATTGGGTGGTATGTATGTAAAGTTCCCAAAAATATAAAAGAGATGATAATTAGTAATAAAACAAATGCAAAAGGTAGAGAAAAGTAGACTCAGAAATCTCAGCAGAAATTACTGTCAAATTCCTTCACAAAAAGCTTTATGATAGAGGGAGAGGAAGATTTTAGAAGGAACATCACTTTCTATAAAAGGACATGATGCAAACAAAATTATAGGAAGATTTACATGCATAACACTCAATTCCTACCGTATTTACATATCTAACACTTCGACTTAACTTTTTACATGTATGCCACCTTAACTATGCATGAAAGGGTGTACTTCACTTTTGAAAAGTTATAAATATGAAAGATTTGGGTGAAAATGAAAAATGTAAAGTTTAGGTGTAGGTATGTAAATACATATAAATTAGGCGGTATATACGTAAATGCCCCAAATTTCTGTTGTATCTTGGAAATAGTTCTTATATTGGAGAATGTCATACAAAACATCTTTCCTGCTTGAAAGGGAAAATAGAAAAATCAGAAAAAAAAAAAAAAAACACAAATATAGGTCATGAATGAAGTGTTGTTTCAGCTTGATTCTATAGTTCTAAAGTAAATATATTATTAACTGTGGATAATTGCGTAATAGCATAAGGTACATTGCACTGATTGAAATTTTAGATAAAACTTACACCATGGAATTCTCAATAAGGGGCATTTACATACATACCATCCAATTCCTATGTATTTACATATCTAACATCTAAACTTTACTTTTTACATTTATACCACTCAAAATTTTCATATCACATAAAAAATACCACTATTTTCATTTTTAAGAAGTGAAATACATCTTTTCATGCATAGGTAAGGTGGCATATATGTAAAAATCGAGGTTTAGGTGTTAGATATGTAAATACATAGGCATTAAGTGGTATATAAGTAAATCTTCCATAAAGATAATATGATAAAAAATAGCTCACCCTCAATTTCATCACTGTCATCATCAAGTGGTGCATCCTTGTTGAAATCAAATCTCTCCCATCCGCTGCTCATTCCCATGGCTGAATCCTTTGCAGCTGCAAGAACAAGGTCATTTTGGTACAATTCTCACAATATATAGGTGCTAATTGCAAAAACAACCAAATGTGGCATTTTATATAAAACAATCAATCCAAAATTATAGAGAAAAGTCCCCTGGCTCTTCCCAGGAGGACATTTTAACCCTGAGTTTATAAAAATGCCAGCATAGTCCCCAAACTCTATTAATAAGAGTTAAAATAGTCCCAAATAAAGATTATTTCAGCCCTCATTAAAAGAGTCTGGAGACGAGTTTATAAAAACGCCAGCATAGTCCCCAAACTCTATCAATATGAGTTAAAATAGTCCCAAATGAAGATTATTTCAGCCCTCATTAAAAGAGTCTGGAGATTAATTTAGCACATTAATAAAATTTAGACTAAAATGACCTCATGTAAATAGCATATGACTATTTTGGCACTTTACACCAAAATTATATTTAGAATATTTAAATATACTAGAATTATTAGCCTTATTAGCTGTTACTATTTTGATTTATTAGCCTTCACTTACTTCCTTTATCATATTTATGTGTTTCCTATTTGATGTATTTCTAAATTTATGTCTTTCCTATTATATGAGTCTTGTAATGTGCATGCATACCCCTTTCCTTATAAGTGAAACTAATCATGCTATATTCTCAAAAGTTCACCTGGGTATCATAGCCATGGTTCGAACCCTACCTGCCATCGGGACTCTTCCCTAGCCGCCGGCCACCTGCAGGCCTTCCTGTTGCATTTTTCCTGCCGACCGGATATCCCTCCAGCCGACCTGATCTTCCTCATGAACAACCTTCCAGCCGTTGGACCTTCCTCCAACCGGCCCAGTCTCCCTCCAGGATCGACATTGACCATATCTATCCCCTGCATGAACCACCATAGTTGGTTCTTCCTCCTGCAGCCAAAATCTTCCTATGTTTCAACGACACAACATCACCTTTGGCTCAGTCAGAATCATGACGGTCTCCTCTACCACCAAGCCTTCTCACGATGATGACTTTGAGTCCATCGGAGGATCGACATTGACCTCAATCCCTCCGCAAAATGGAGATCTAAAAAACACATGAACTTTTTGATCACCACCCATGAACTTAATGGCTCTAATTTTCTCTAATGGTCCCAAGCCATGTCATTGTACATCAGAGGAAGTGGGAAATTCAAGCATCCCACAACTCCACAAGGATGATTTGTGAAACTCTGAAAACTAACCTGGTATATGAAGCATGGAAGTAAAGAATTTCATGGCCATGTCATAGCTCATCAATTTCATGGAGACTACGATTGGTCGTTCGTATCTATTTCTTCCATTTGCAAGTGCACGATGGACGACAACTTGGGATACGCACTCGGACGTAGGCAACTTAAGCCAAGTTTATGAGGTTTTCAAGAAGATACGTGAGACAAAATAAGGATGCCATCTCACAGGAAAGATTCGTGAACCTCCAAAAACTGACCTGACCTATGGGGGCATTGGAAGTGGAGAATTCTATGATCATGTCGTGGCTGGCTGATCAATTTCATGGAGACTAACTCTGACCATTCGTATTTGTTTCTTCCGTCTGCAACTGCACTATGCATGACGGTTCGAGATACCTACTCGGACGCAGGAAACTCAAGCCAACTTTATGAGGTCTCCAAAAAAATATGTGAGGCAAAACAATGATTAAGAACCGTGACTCAGTACTACAATGACTTAGTGGCCTTATGGATGAAATGCGAGCTCTACTTTTAGTAATACACATGGGCTCCGGATGATCTTTCGCTCCATCCTCCAAAAAAATGTGGAAAACGATCATGTGTTCCAATTTTTGGAGGGTCTAAATAAGGATCTCAATGAAGTTCAGGGTGGGTCGTATTCTTGGTCGGGATCCCCTTCCTTCAACACGTACCGCATTCATCGAGATACATCGCAAAGAAAGTCGGTGTTACATGTACATTCGTTAAAGTGTAACATATTGTCAGTGAGTGAATTGACATATGACCTTGATTGCGTTACTCAATTTTCTCTTGATGATTGTGTCTTTCAGGATCATCGTACGGGGACAATGATGTCAGTCAGTGAATTGACATATAACCTTGATTGCGTTACTCAATTTTCTCTTGATGATTGTGTCTTTCAGGATCATCGTACGGGGACAATGATAGAAACTGCTAAGTGGATAACCAGACTCTACTTCTTCCAAGAGAAAAATAATATTGACGAGATCACTCCATCCAGTAGTTGTTGTCTTTTCCGGTCTACTGAATGTCCTATTATGCTTTTACATTGTCGTTTGGGTCATTCTGATTTTCAATATTTAAAACAGAAGTATCCTTTGATGTTTACTGATAAAAATTTATCTAGTTTCAAATGTGACATTTATCAGTCAACTAAACATCATCAAGTACCATATCAATCACACTCTTACGCTCCTTTCGCTCCTTTTTCACTAATTCATCGTGACTTGTGGGGACCCTCTCGAATGTCTAGTTACACCAATAAACAATGGTATCTTATCTTGATTGATGTCACACTCGGATGACGCAGATTTATGTCTTAAAAAATAAAACTAAAGCTGTTGTCAACTTAAAAAATTTTCACTCATTCATTTTGACCCAATTCAAAATATCAATTCAAGTCATTTGGACTGACAACGACAGTGAATTTTTTAACTACATTTGGGGATTTTTTTGGTAAGTAAGGACATCCTTCATCACAGCTCCTATATGGATACTCCTCAACAAAATGAGGTAGCCCAAAAAATTCGACACCTTCTCAAAGTTATCCATTTCATTATGTTTCAATCGAATGTCCCGAAACGTTTTGGAATAATGTCGTACTTACAACCACATATCTCATCAATAAAATCCCCACAAAAATTCGCAAAGTCTGGACCCGTTAGCAGTTTTAAGGTCGTGTTTTACTACCAATGAAGTAACTGCAAAATGAACAATTTAATTATTACA